CATATTTTGATATATTTCTGATTGTAGTTTTCAGCTTGCATTTATATTTGGGGTTTAGTATCTTGTAACACATTCTTGCTCCTCTTTGCTTGGCTCTAGTTAAAGGGACTTGAAGGAAACAATTCCATCACATGACTTGTTTTCCAGAGTTTGTCATTTTCATCTTAACAGATTGTTCAGTGTTGTGAAATTCACTTATTGATTTAGTCACAAATGTTAAATTATTAAATAAAGCTGAACTTCCTCCCTTTAAGAGTTGAGCACAAAGAAAATCAAGCATCCTAGTTGTGTCCCTTTTTTATTCAAGAGTCAGAATGACAAGTCATTTCATAGCAGTCAAAACAGACAGGTCAAAATATCTTGTAAAAATGACTCTCCATACATTACAAAAAAGGGCAAAAAAAGAGAAAGAAACCAGAGCTTAATAAGAAAAAAGAAAAATGCATGTCTGTATCTGCAGAGGGTCCGCAGCCGAGCCATCGGAGAGAGCTGTCTCTCGTCTTCAGCTCAGATAAAGGGGACACCGTTATAGATGAGACGCAGAGAAATGGATGCAACTGGGCTGTTTAGCGGCCATCTAGAAACCACAGGCTTCTTTATGTGAGGTATTCAAAGTAAGCTGTGTTAAATAAAGAAGAAACCGACTGTCCTGCTTTCAATAACAACAAAAAAAGTAACAAAAAGGAAGTTCGATTTGATCTTTACCTCAAACACACCGTTGTTCAGTTTCTAACTACACATCAAAGGACGCTGTATACTCGAGCCTTCATTTGTGAAGCTTTTCAGCCTTTTGTGCTGGACTAACTTGCTTTGTTCCTTTCACAAAACCAACACAGCCACATAGTGATCACCCTTTCTACACTACCAAAGCAAGTCCCTTTGAGAAGACAGGAAGAGATGAAGACAGGAAGAGATTCCCTTTCCACTAAACTCTTTTTTTTTTATTATTATTTTTGGTCTGTTTGCTTCACCTCCACTATTAGGTGGCGCTGCACAGATTTCTAAAATCCTGACGAGAGAAAAGAGGCAGTGAAGTTTTTCAGAGGCTGTGTTCAGACTACCAAGGTAAATTCAGTTTTGCCATACAGAGGCAAAATGCAGTAACTACAGTTCTGGTTAAAACTGGGTTGTGTAAATCAGCTTTATGTACTGACAAAGTTCTTGGTTCAACTATTCTCATTCTGAAAATAGCAAAAATTGCAGTAAATGCAAAATCCACACTACAACAGAATTCTGAAGCTTGAACTCTGTTGGTGTAGTTACTGCTCTTAGGCTTCGTAAGGCAGAACATGCTGTTATTCAAAATCTGCAGACGTGAAACTGGCCGCATCATTCCATTTGAATGAACTGGATCACATGACCGTGACAGTAAGTGATCACGAACTAGCAGCTACAGGCCTGATTTCAGCACCTGAGTGGCAAAGCACTGCAATCGCTGGGTCCCTTAATAACAACCAAGCAGAAAAGGCCAAGTCTACAGCCATGGTCCCTTTCACTAGAGTCCTGTTCACATCCTACAAATGCTTCCTGCAGTCTGGAAGCAAACAGAGAAACAGCATCGTGTTGCTACCTACTCATGACATGCAAACCAGACATACAGTCACATTTTGTCAGGGGAAGGAAAGAAATGATCCAAAAAGTAGAAGAAAAGTCTAAAGTGCCAGCACAAGGAAACTCATCTGGACTTGGGCAGTGATGAGTGTTTCGCAGGCCCACAATGAGTGCGGCAGTCATCCGTCCTGTCATATGTACAGCAGCTGCACATCAAGGACGGGTTCACTGTGCATCATTTTCTGATTGTGACAGATTGTCTATACATTCACTTTTCATTATAGAAATTACACTGAAATTCAAGGCCAGCGATAATCTGTAAGAAATCTGCATTTCACATCAACAAAGTCAAAAAAAAAAAACACCCTCCAATAACAATAGTAATCATTTGCCGTTATTTAGGAATATAGCACGTACAATGTACAAAGACAGGTGAGCTACGTTTCCATCAATTCAGCCAGCGGTACAATCTGAAAGTAACATTTCAGACCACAGATCTTCATGGCAGTGAAAAAAGAACATTAACAACAAAAAGAACCTCTTATGTATATCAAAAATTCACAAAATGCCCAGCATCAAGGAATATTCAAAATACATACAAGAAGACTGGTTAACAGGTGTAGAGCGATTCCGTTGCTGAAATATTGCTTCATTAACAAACATGATACAAATGTGGTCGTGTACGACAAAAAATGAAGCATATTTCATTTATGGAAAAAAGGGCTGAAAGTGTGCAAAAAAAATTCATATATAATAATAATAATAATAATAATAATAATAACAACAACAACAAATTTTGTCAAACAGCTGAAGAAAAAGCAGTACATGGTAAGGCATTAAAGGAGTCTGTCCTTGTATGCCTGAGACTGAATGAGAATCCTGGTTCTCTCATGTAAAATGATAGTCAAAAATATAACATCAGAAAAATTGAATCTATTATCACTGTCACAAACACGTCAACCATAAAAAACAGATCATATAAAACTGTACGCTCTGAAAGAAATTTTATAGGAATTACACTTTTAACTGCTTCAATATCAAAATAAACTTTGAGAAACATTCCTAAATTGCTAATGGAGAATAAAAATTTCTGCAAAATGAAAACCGAAGACTACTTCAGCTCATTTGCGTTAGATGGTTAAAAGGATCACGATTGTTTAAATGTGTAACAGTAAACATGTCTTTTGTTCCATGCACCAGTATAATTCCCTTTAGCCTCGTCCTGGGAGTCTGCAAATAAATCGACAGATGTTGTCAGCCAATGTAACAGCTCGACACACAAAAAAAAAACAACACCCAAAGCTACAAAGCTGTAGAAGCCAAATGATGCTGGCCAGTACTTGTTTTAGCTAAATCAATGCACCTTTGTCCAAAGTAGTACATTTCAAACACCAAACGTGTCCATCAGGGTTTTAAGGGAAAATCGTGTAAACCTGATTTTCACCAAACTATTCCCTTAAACCTGAGCTCTCTTATGTTGTCAAAAATAGTGTGACTGTTTCTACAACACTGGAGACTGGGCACAACCAATTCTCCAACAGAAAAGAGAACATCAGCTAGGTCCAGAAAACTAAGCCACAAATAAGATGGATGATATCAATGAGAAAGCTCAGGCAGAAATGGATTCAAAGAGAAAGAACGAGGTCATGTTTTGAGCCATAACGCTCCTATCAAAACGATAGAGGGCTGCTCTGGGTTAAAAGGGAAAGACATCTGCAACATTTTAAAGCTTACAGGAGCTATAAGTAGCATTTCCAATCAAATTTTAATGAAGATGTCATCAAATAATAATCATGCTACTTAGCAGCAGTGGGTACAGAATATTATATGAAGACATGTGACAAAGTTATTCTTTTTCTTCAAATTAGAGCTGAATGTTAAGCTCCTGTTTTATGAACAACTGTCTGACCAGCAGCAAACACGTTCTTATGGAAAAACACATTTTGGCAGTGATGATTAAATGTTTTTAGGTCCCAATCAGAGATTTCAGTAAAGGAATAGTTGGCAAAACTGTGGTTTACACAATTTTCTCACCCAAATGTACTCGATCAGCTAAGACACTGTTGGTGTCTGAAATCTGCTGCTTTAATTTTGCACTGGATCTACAAAGCTAATGCTAACAAAGAGTGGAAGCATTATTAGCATCATGAATTAGCATTGTGTAAACTGCATGCCTAAATGGTCATAAACTTGCCGCAAGCATTCATTAAACAAAAGAGCTAAAACTGAGCTAAGAGCTAAGCCTAAATTCTGTGATACTATCCATTTGTTATTCCCAACATGACTTGCTGATGATTGCATTTAAGGGAGTACGAAGAAAATTTGAATAAATTTGTTTTTTCGCTGAACAATTTTTTCAAGAGCATTGCACCAGGCCCGCTGAGCTTGAAGTTTACTCAAAAAAAGGGTACAATCGCAGATTACTGTGTCTCAGCAGGGGCGGCCTCAAGGTGGAGCTCCGTCTCAAAAACAATAAAGACATAAAGGAATGCCACAAGATGGTACGATATAGATACAGAGATTTGTCGGCTAAGAAACGCTCTATTTGACTCCTGCCATTCTTCATAATCTTGGTGCACTCTAGAGAACTACGACAGAATACATGCAAGTAGAAGAATTTTGGTCCTTGTTGATGTCAGATTAAGCTGAAAAAAGGAAACAAATTGCAATTACCTACATACTGCTGAGACTATCGATGATGATGGGGGAACTGATTTGGCCAAATGAAGAACCAGCATTTGTCAAAGGAGTGGAGATCCATAAACTATCACATGCACTCACCTCTATCTTTACACATGGTGCTCATCAAGACACAAGCTTCAGTCTTCTAACCAAACCCTGAGCTTAAAAACAAACCCCAAAAAATAAACAAAACAAAGACGAAAAAATCAAGAATTAAAAATTGGACTGGCTCAGTTAAATTCAGACCAGCATATTGATTTGGGCCTAAATGCACCTCAAATCTGATCCTCCATTCTTAGAGGCCAGATATTTGTCACCAGCGCTTTGTGACCCTTCAGTCAAACACTGGAATAATACTGTCATCAAGCATCGAGCCCATGCAAATGCTTACTAAAGGAGATTAAGAAAGGCATCTACAGTAATAAAACATGAAAAAGGGGGAAAAAAATTTCACTTTTAAATAAACTTCACCATTTTGTTTCCAACTGTTTTTTTGATAAATGTTTATAACACGACTGCTCCTCCCAATCTATTCCCCCAACAAATGAAAACAAAATAAGTGCTTGGCTTTCAAGTAATCATTTTTTTTTTAAACCAGAAATCACCATCTTTTGGCTCTCATAGATTTTGTCCCTTTTTCAAAAAAAATCAAAAAAAAAAAACAAACAAAAAAACCCAGGAGCAGAGAGAAAAGCAAGTGAGATAAAGGAGAAGTGAAGATAACCAAAGAGTCACACGAATGTCCTGGTTGACAGGGAGTAAACTTTGCATTTTCGGACACTGGCAGTCCAATGGCCTCCACCACCCTTCCCTGCTCTTCCTCTCTCTCTTCTCCAGGGTTGGACAGTTAGCAAGCCGAGGCCTGGGGGGTAGAGATGTTCAGTTGAGTTTCTTCTGACCGGTGTGGTGATCGCTGGGGGTGAAATCAGCACAGAAACCATTGGACACAGGGCTTGAGCTGGAGGAGGGTGGACTGCCCCAGAAGCCTGCATTATCTGCATACAGAAACTCCTCAGCAAAGTCTGGCCGCTGCTCCACAAAGCTTTGGAACATCTCTGCCAAAAGGGGGCGCAAGGGAACAAGAGAAGTCAGAGCAAGCATTAAAACAGTGAGGAACAACAGTGAATGTCACAGGCATTTACACAGCCCAGCTCTACAGTATATGCAGTTATACTACTGGTCAATGCATCTCAATAGCCATCACCTTAAAATCATCACCATAAAAAGCTATTCATCCAGAGGATTGTTTATGCCAAGAACTGACCTGAGGATCAGTTTAACTCTGCACCCTCTAACATTACACATCTAGACTGTACCTAGTTCATTTTATTTTATACTATAGCCTACTTTAAGTACAATCTACGGAATAGAAAAGAAACAGTCTTGGGTGAACATAGCCTTAAAAATTGTTTTACTACCACAATAATTGTACAAGTCGGCTGCTCCAGAGCCTCCGATTCAATTCACCAATACTTTTCTACAGAGATACAATCTGTGTGTGTGCAGTTGAATGCCTATGTCAGCTATAGATGCACATTAAAGTAGCTGGTGTGTGGATACATTTAGTTTATATGTATTGTGTGTATGTACATGTCATTTGTCACTATAGAAATATAGAAAAATAGTTACACAAAAGATTGACAAAGAAAGACCAAAAAAAAACACAAATATAAATGAAGTGTCACCAAATGTAAGTTTCCCGCTGTCATCCACATCGATCGCGCTGAAGAGGCGGGACACTGTGAGCTCTGCAACTCCGAGGGCTGTCCGCAGGATACAGGCCAATTCTTCCTCTGTGATCGCCCCATCATCCTCATCCCCAAACATCTGACCAAACAATGACCCAAAACAGTTAGTACTGACCCCAATCAACCACAGCGAAGTACCATGCAATGTTATACACATTGCTGTTTCATAAGGTTTTGAACATGCCCAAGAGTTTATTTTGGCAGGCATGCTGATACAGGAGGATCAGCCGAGGCTTAATGCTCATCATTTTTCAAAATTACCAGATAACTGAATCTTCAAAATGTAAACAAACATTTCATTCGGAGTGGTTTGATGTAAAATGCTGTGTTCTAGAGAAACTTTCAGAGTTGTTCACAACAGTGGTGATGGTAACCAGGCATTTGAAGAGTTTAAAAGCCTCTGTCACAGAAAGTTTTTATATGAAACAGTTGAGAATACACTGCCTGATGTCTGAGGCATCATTTTACAATCATTTGGAGATACAGTTTGGCCAAAAGTGTATTAATTCCTCAGGGTGTTAGTTCACGTAACTGAGGGCTGTTTTGCATCACAGGTTAAAAAATAAGATCCATTTCGGTTTCAGGTTGACTAAACTAGCAGTAGTAAGTAGTAGCAAGGCAAGATGTCCCCAAACCTGAGAAGCAGCGTGTGTTACGGAAAGAAATGTTTTGAACGTGTGAATGCAGCACAAACCGTGAATGCTAACTTGATAGTTTCCAGTGTTTTGGCAGGCCTGCACACGACAGAGAAAGCAATTACAAACTCCCGGATGTCCATTGTGCCGTCCTTCTGCTGCAAATCAAAACAAAGAGGAACTTGGCTCAGTTCAAAACCAAGGAACAAGCTATGTGCACAATGTACTGTATAAATGAACCCGTCCAGGTTTACATTAAATCATCACCATCCATGATCATAATGTTGCTGTCAAAAATATATTAGTTATATTGCCAGAATAAATCACATCACTAATGAGATATGAAGCTCAGTTACCACTTCTACACACTATAATAGATAATATTAGTCCATAAACTGTCTCTCTTTCACTCAGAGAATTCACAAAGAGCTATACTTTAAAGGCAGAGTACAGTTTTGTTGCTCTGGTCTGATGGTTAAAAACGATTATCGGATTGAAGGACAAACGGTAAGTCACAGTGACTGTCACTGCTTAATTTCTTACCTCATCAAAGAGAGCAAACATGTCTCTGAGCACATCAGAGAGCGGCAGGTCCAGAAACTGAGCAAAGTCCTCCAGGCTCTGCCTCTGACCCTGCAGCTTACGCGCCCTTTTACCGTACTCTTTCAGGAGCTTCTCAGAGTTCTCCCGCTTTTGCCTGAAAAGCACACATACATATGCATATATCATCACTAGATCTTTGAGAGCCACACAGTGACTAAAGCGACTCAGGACTTAATTTAAGAAAACAACACAAAAAGTAGGAAAGTGGAAAAAAAAAGTTATTTAAAAAAAGAACAAAATAAAATTTTTATTGACTGTGCATGCAGGCACTTCTCTCAGCGTAAATGTTTAGAGATGATTCATGCCAATTAGAAAGTAGTAGCATTAGTAGTATGCAGTACTGGACACAGCCCTTGATTAGCTAGATCAGATGCATTAGTGTTATGTAAGAGAACATCTGATGCAGGTTGGAACTAAACTACAGGAGAGCAGAACTCCAAGAGGAGGTTTGGTGACCAATTCTTTGACAAATTATGCATATAAAATAAAAAAAGTCTTACTATTATAAATATTTGTATGTAACTGACATACCAACTTTGTCTTGCAAATGAAAGAATGTATTTATCTCAGTGCAATAACTGCTTTTGGCTTTGAAAAAAAAAATGGTTTTGAGTGTTTATCTCTACCCCTCAACCCCTGTCTAAGCAGCAGCATTACACTCTTTCACAACTACAACAAATTCATCATTCATTTTTTTTTTCCATGTAAAAATAGTCACAAACATATTGCAGCCTGCTTAGCTGCTCTGTGAAAAGGACAGAAAGGAGCTAAATAATATTAGCACAGCAAGATGTTGAGAATGAGGTCAGGGGACATGGTGTGTGCATTCGTGTGAGTGCAGAGTTATGAATTGTGACAAGTGTGATGTGAGTCAGTGTTTGTTTTCTCACGGAGACTTATCCAGAACAGCAATTAATAGAACACGCTGTGTGTGGCGTGTGTGTGTGCATGCATGAGAACAGTGTAAATGAAGGTGCTTAAAAAGAACCTTCAAACAGCAAACAGTATATGTGGGAGTTTGTGAAAGAATGTGACATTGTATAGTGATGGTGTGTATTTTGAGTGTGAGAGAGATGTAAATGCTTTTTTTAGCAGCAGAACTCGTGAACCTTTGTGCTTTGTGAAAACAGTGTACGGGACAGGGGTGCCAATCTTACAAGGATTTTATTATTATTTGAAAGTTCAACAATTCAATACATTGTGAAATCTCAAATTTCATAATTGTTTTAGTGCAATTCATAATTATTTTAAAAATACACTTGGTATACAGCCTTTTTATTCACTGGAGAAACTACTGATGCCAAATAAGGAATTTGAAAATGCTATTTTTTGAAATTATAAAAATGTAAAAATACTGAAATGGATATGAAATGCATTTTTGTATCTGCAAGAATCTATTCAATGCATAGATGCTTCATAGCTTTTAGTAAAAATTTATTTTTAAACAGGAGAAATCTATTTTACCCCCAGACATAAATACCCAAAATAAACTTTATTCTGATGCACTGAAAATGTATTCACATAAAAAATGTATAATGTGACATGTCCTGTATTTATTAAATAACTGGGACTTGGACACAAAAAAGGCACATCTCATCACTGACCCTATGACTGTATCAATCTATGTAGTTGAATCACTACCTTCTGATGCACTGATGAGTTTTTACACCCCCAGTGAGAAAGACTCACCCTAATCTCCGGACAAGTCTGGCAAACTCCAGTAGACATGTATCCACGGGCAGCCTGAGCTGGCCTTCTGCCATGGCCAACTGACAGTCCTCAAATGAGTAATCTGTCACAGGGACATCCAAAGCCCTGAATGGACAAACACACAGAACAAACATGACATACAAATTGCTTTTACCATGGCCACCCCGACCCCTCCCAACACACACAAACACACACTACTGTCGCATTAAGGTCTGCACTTCTTACTTTTCCCCAATTTAAAATGTAAAAGATGATTTCTCTTTCCACAAAAGACGACTTCATTTAAAATTCCATTAAATTCAATAAAAAACTACATATTCTCTTCTACTACCCACACAAAAACAGTATCAAAAGAACCAGCTCTTTCAACAGAACTATTAGTGGAAAAAATAATGAATGTACAAATTACAAGATATTATTAATACAGAACTACAACTTTCTTTTTTGTCAGAAGGTAACTGTGACTAAGAGTGAAACTTTACTACTGAATCTAGAACTCTGACATGCAGTGCATTCATACAGTCTAGGGGGCCTTACTTGGCCATGAGGCGGCGCACATTGTGAGCGAAGAGATGGGGGTTCCTCTTTTCGTCTTCGCTGGGTGTGTAGATTGGGAGGAACTGAAAGCAAAACAACAACAACACTTACACAAACACCTCCTGCAACACACATATAAGCTAACAAATCTTGAAGCCACTTCTTTTATCATACAGTATGTACATCAACTTCCTAATACACAACTTTCAATCGAAGGCATTCTGAAGGTAACTATTAATGTCTGTAGAAGCAATGCAGCAGAACTGAATCAGACAGCAGTCTAATAGTGCTCATGTGAGCTGGGCACAGAGTTATGAATCCTGCACTTAAAAAATAAACAATAAAAATGCTGTGAATTTAAAGTTTGACCCAAAAGTGGTGTTAAAGCTCAGCTCCTCAAACCAGAACGCCCAGTGTTTCCCAAATATTTTAAATATCATTTGGTGCTGAAGTGGGGAGCGGGGGGAAACAATGACTCCACAGCATGAATAACAAAATCAAAATTAACCCCTGTGAAACTACACTGTCACGTAAATATATACAAAAATGGAATACCTGGCTGCAGTTTGGCTCAGTATTTAAGTATTTTATCTGGTATTTTTGTTAGTACTGTGAAAGATGATTATTTAGAAATGTTTCAGAGCCTTTTTGCTCTGGAAGGTTGCATTACAGGCTGATGGGCTGTTTCTTTATATATAAATAAATATACTCTGGCAAGTGAACAGTGAACTGATGTGTTTCTGACAGAAAAAAACAATTGCCGGCAAAAGGGATAAAACACTTTAAAAACGAAGACGCAAGACTGACTTCTGCACTTCTTTATGATATAGCCATTTCTTCTGTCTGTATTTCAGTAATGCATAAGTTAGCTTTTACCAATTAGCACACATCAAATCTCTCTCACCCCTCACGCAGCGTCTCGTTAAAGTATTTATTTCCGGGTACTCATCTGTTAAGTAAATATTAGATGAGTCACTAGCATAACCACAACTAGGCATTCTTTACAAGTTTGAGAAAGCAACTTTGATAGGTATGTGTAGTAGCTAGGAAACTTTATGCAAGTGCCTATCTCTCTCTCCCTCCTTAATCTTAGGGGAGCAAACGGCACCTTGTATGTATCTCAAATCAGTCAAAGTCAGTTTTAGCAAGTCCAGTTACTGTATAAGGACAAAAATCACACAATTAAGATAGTGGTAAATTGTAAGATGGTTAAACATTCCACAAAATTCATAATCTGATTTGTAGAGATGTCACAGCAGATCTTTCCCCTGCTCTCGGTCAGGTATGGTGGGCAACTCCACAATAATATACTGATAACAAATATTGTTTATCATGTATTATACAGATTCGGGTTTCAAATTTAACAGTACCAGTCGGGCTTGCTCAGGTTGGGACTCAAACTCAAGGGTTTGGGTCGGCTTTGGGCTTCAATTTAATGCTCGTGCAGACCTTTACAAGGGATTCACCTTTAAGGGCTAATATACACTCTGAAATATAGAAGCTCTGTGTGTGAATACCTAAAGACCAGTATTTCTAAAATAAATCAAAAAAGGATGAGGCTTTCACTGCTGCAGTAACAAACCTCTGGATGAACTGGTGAACCCTTTATTTGACAATTAAGGACTGCCTGCATTATTTATTATTATTATTATTTTTTTAACTGTTCATCTATTCAAATCACAAATACTCATCAAGAACATCTGAGGTCAGCCCTGATACTCAATACATAAGCGGTCTTAGAGGCTCATATGCATGTTGCAGTCTTTAGTGGTATCAGTGATACACAGGCCATGTATGGTGTAATAATTGCAACCGCAAATAATGAACAGTGCATCTCTGCCAGGGGAGCAGAGTATGTGAGCGGTTCAGTGTGAGAGAGGAGTGACGTGATTTTGGTCGGAGTGGCTTTTCAGAAAGTCAGAGCGTCAGTGTTCCCTCTCGCTCTGAAATCGCTCCATCCCATGAGCCAGACAGTCCTTTTTCCCTGCTCACGGACTACATCTGTATGACATGAGTGATGCTGCAGTGACTGCTACAGCTCCCACACCACAACCATTCACACAGTGTATGTTGCAGAGCCGTTCATCATACCTACATACTGGGAACCGTCCATGATTGCAACAAAGATCTACAGAAATTACACTGCGTCAGTCTCATGTCATCCATTTTGCTGAGCGAATGATAATGATGCATGTGTATTTGTTAACCCTCAGCAGCTTTCTAGCTTTTGATTGGCTGTTGCTTCAAGCCCATACCTTACGGGGGGAAGCCTGTGTAGCACAGATCGCTTAACTAGTTGTTTATTTAATAACGGCCATAAATTATATTATCAGTGAAATAAAGTGTGTAGTGTCTTGTCCATACATTCAAAACAAAAATATAACAATGGGTCAAATGGGGCGCTGAAGAGGAGGAGTCTTCAGTGTCAGGAACCACATGTAAGTAAGTAAGTAAATAAATGACATCAGAGTCAATCACAAGGGCTGAACACTCACCTCGATTTCAAACTTGTTGTGAAGCTGGCAGAGAGTTAGCCACAGGATCTTAAACCTGGGAAAATATCAGAACTGCTGTCAGCTAAAAGGTCATCTTTAAAAGAAACGTTTTATTCATAGATAAGATTATTTTTCCCCTCATTACACCTTAAGTCCTGTTAGCAGAACTGACAAAGTGGAAGTGCAACATATCCTGGTGATTTACATTTAAGTGCTGACCCCACTTTCAAATTATTAAGAGCAACTGCAGGGAGAAATTTCAGGCTGTCATCCAAATAAAGCCTTATTTTAAGCCTTATTGTTAAAGGTGGAAATAGTGTTTGGTCTTGTATTGTATTGTGTCATTGTCAGGCTGGGAGCAGAGCCAGAAATAAAGATTACAACCCTTGTAGGAATTGTAAACAAACAATGTATCGTTACTCACAGATGGGCCATATCAAACAGCCAGCTTCACATGAGACAAACTAGACTAGAATCACAGTGCAAACAGAGACTTCAACAAGGCCAGACAAATAGCAGGGAATCAAACTGGTTTTAAGCCTGGCCTTGTCAGCAATTAAGTGGTTTAACCATACTAACTCAGAGCGCAAAATATAAAAGAAGTAAAAATAAATTCATGAATTAATAAAAGGACAAATGAGCAGTTAAATTACATTTTCTACATATCAAACAAATTCAACAGCATTCAGAAATGGATTCATTAAAGGCCCCATATCCTATTATTCTTCAAGTTTTTTTTTTTCTTTGAGGTTCTCTTAATGTTTGTCATGTTTAAGGTACCAAAAATCATTATTTTTACAAGACCATTTTCCAAGCCTCCTTTATTCCTCATAATTAAACCGTCTGTTTTTGTTACTGTGCCTTTAAAACTGATACGTAAATGCGCTCTGTTCTGACTCATTCAAAAGGCAAATGGAGGTGAAACACTATGACTGTAAATGGGCAGGGCTAAATGGCTGTGCTCTGAACGGGTATGAAACTTGTGAATGTCAGTCATGGTTTGTGTGACATCACAAAAACAGTGAATTCAAAACAGGCCGTTGAAAAAAAAGGGGGAAAATTCAAATTTCCATGGCTAATTTAATGGGGAAAAAAGTGGATAAAATGGCAGAAATAGTCACTTTTCTGCCTTAAATTGTTAAGCCTGCCTTGGCAATAACAAAGGTGAGCCCAGTCATTTAAGCCTCAATAGCAGTTAAAAGTGAGCTCTGTAGTTTATGCCTGGTTTTAGTAGGAGTTCTGTTCAGTTGTTGAAGCCTGGCCTTAACAGCAGTTTAAGTTTGTAAGAAAAGTCAGTACTTACGCTCCAGGGCCTTGCCATGTCCAGGTGATGGTGTCCTGAGGAGACAGACACAACCACAATTCACACATGGGCACTAACACACACAAAACTGCGAAGTGTGGTCTTGTTTCAGTCAGTGATCTGACACTGCCCGAACATCTGACATTGCATGACACTGCCTGTATGAAACACTACCAAACTAGGGATATGTATTAAAAATGGGCTTTTAAATTGATACAGAGTAAGCGTGTGTTATGAACTGAAATTTAACATGTTCCACTACTCAGATTATCAGGATAAACAAAAACAACTGGATTAGGCTCCGTTATAGTCATCATTACTTTTATAAAAACTATTCAACCAAAACACTATACTAACTGTTACACTCACTTTAACAGCTTTCCTTTTCATGGAATGAGTTCATTGTCAATCCCTCCTACAATCTCTCCTCTATGTTCTTATCTCTTCACTCTATAATGTGTATATATATTATGTACTTTGCAGCTGCTCTCTAAAATAACATTGTTTTATTGTATGTTTGTAAATTCCAAGTTTATTGCTCTGCTGCTTAAAGTTTAATGTTGGATGGGTTTATGAGCTGACAAATCCTTCCTTGTGAAGCTCAACAGGTAATGTAATACACCATATGACCAAAAGTATGTGGACAGATCTTCTAATTGATTTCAGGTGTTTCTCCGTCTCCATAGACCGGGGTATCCAAACTTATACGCAGAGGGCTGGTGTGGCTGCAGGTTTTCATTCCAACAGTGCAGGAGCTCACATGATCAATTGCCAACTGATTAAACAATTGGAATCAGGTGAGCTCCAGCTTGTTTGGCACGAAAACCTGCAGCCACACCGGCCCTTTGCGGATAAGATTGGACACCCCTGCCATAGACAAACTCACATACCACACAAACTCCTTTGCAGTATCACTCAATACAGAGTTCCAGATGGCCTCTGGGAGCAACATCAGCACAAAAACTGTATTGGGAGCTTCTTGAAACGGGTTTCCATGACCAAGCAGCTGCAACCAACCAGGCCTTCTCGTCCAACAACAGTGACTAACCTCATAAATGCTCTTTTGATTGAATTGGGCACAAATTTCCAAAGATACACTCTAAAATCTTGTGAAAAGCCTTCTCAGAAGAGGCTGTTACAGCTGAAAAGAGGGGGCAAACTATTATTTCCCATGGTTTTGAAATGAGATGTCCAACAGGCTTATATAAGTGTGAAGGTCAGGTGTCAACATACTTTTGGCCACATCTGTTTTGCCCAACAGAGCTCAGCAATAGAGGAAAAAAGGAACCCATTGCAAATCAGGCACAATAATCAGTGCCAACATGGCATGGTGCAACCAGCAGAATCTTTCTGCAGCGCTTTTTGGTAAAAAGACCAAAGTGGAATGCATTCTATGCATCCTCTCTGTGGTAGGCTGTCCAAGTCAAGCAGCAAAAAACAGACTGTTTGCACGCGTGTCCCCTGCCATGTAGCCGCTGATAAAACGGCTGGGGTTTTTCTTCATGGTATTAACAGTAAGTTAAAATCAGTTTCATGGAGGCAATGTCCCACTCAGTACAGAGCCTAATCTGGGAGTGTGCATATGTAGATAGGGAACTACGATCTGACTGGAACTTTGAAAGTGACAAAGGATACAAGCTCACATCTCTAATGATTACAAATGTTCAAAAAGTGTTTTCTGAATTTTATGAAAAGCCACTGCAGTTCTAAACCGATGAGATGAAACAAAATGTCATCCCAAACAACACTGTACACTGTGATCCAGGCTTCTAATGTAAATGATCAAGCAAAGTTGGAATCTGTCAGCGATGACATTATGCAAAAAAGTGCATGTGAGGGTGAGACAGTGAGCGGGGCTTGTGTCCTATAGTTTGTTTGTGGCTGATGTAAAAGAAAAGGATCAGATGACACTCATGACTGATTTGTTTCAACATCCAGGACACATTTGTAGCCTTTTGTACGCATAATAAGTTATATTTATGGTTAATAAAACCATATTCACTCAACTTGTAAGGCAGTTCTCCACCTAAAATTCAGAATTTAGTGAGATTCCAACTGTGGAGAAATTCAGACAGCATTCTCCACCACAGAATCTGAGAGCGCACAAAGAACAAGAGATTTCTTCAGCTCAGTCGCTCCCGAAACCCCTTCCTTATCTTTAAGGGAAAAATTCACTTCCTCCTGCCCCGACAAGGGCCAGTGGTTCAGCAAGACCACTAGCATGTGTGAAGCAAGTGTGAACTAGCACCCCCAGCACTACAGAGGGTGGACTTTAACAAATTAATATTTTATATGTGTATTACACACACACACACACACACACACACACACACACACACATACATACATACATACATACATACATACATACATATATATATATATATATATATATACACACAGATATATACTAGGGGTGGGAATCTCTAGGCACCTCACGATTCGATTACGATTCAGAGGGCTGCGATGCGATTATAAAACGATTATCGATGCATCTCGATGTGAACTGGAAGGCTCTTTCACTGCCATTGTTTGAAGACGCTGCTGCCACTCATCTGTGATAAAATGCGCTGTTACGGTGAACTAAGATCCAGTGGTAATGGATGTCCACGCAGCACATTACAGCTGTCCTACCCGTTTTCTTTAGTGATTTTATAACTTCGGTTTTGGTCTCGTGATAGGGAGGGGGGTGCGCGAAAGCCCTGTTTCGCAACGACTGCGAACTCGTGTGCAGACTGCAGGTCACCTAGCAACGAGGTTCCGCCGAGCTAGTAGCGAACGAAAAAGGAAAAAAAAGACAGACGAACATTTGGAGATGAATGGACTTATTCGCATTTATAAGCAGCGCAGTTGGTTTCCTGGTACGTTAAATCTGCCACGAGAGACTGTCAAACGCTAAAATGTTGCGAAGATGAAGTCGCTTCTCTTTCTAATTTTCCTGTTCCACCTTAAATGGTGCTGCATTTACATTCGGCGCCTCAGTCAGAATTTAAGGTGGAACAGGAAAGTTCAGCAAGAAGCTGGCGAGGGAGAAGTGACTTCAGCCTCGTAAATCAGTCGAACGCTGAGAGACATTTTAAAGAAACTAGCTTATTCAACTTTTGAGGAAAAGTTTTCTGGCGGAGTTGGAAGAAAAGCGGCTATAGCTAAAGCTTAAAGCAGAGCGAAGTAAGTCTGTGTTTTCGTTTATATTGTTTAGCCTATACTAGGACATTATCACATACTGGACATTAAATGTCCAGTATGTGATAATGATGGTTTGATTTTTGTTGAAAGGACAACATGTCTCTTCTAAACATTTGGGTTGTGACTCCTGATTTGACCTGGCTTTTAATGCAGAGGGAGCCGGTTTCTCGCTCATCCAGTGGTGTTTGTTATGTGCGCGTCACGGAGTGTCCGGGCGCTGCACTTACCCACTTCCAAGTTCCGCCTTTTGCGTTCCGTCAACATTACGCTATAAATTAAATATTTAGAAAATATATTTTTGACATTTGTGAATCGATTCAGAATCGTTCACGTCCGCATCGTGATGCATCTAAGAATCAATTTTTTCCCGCACCCCTTATATATAAATACACACACACACACACACACACACACACACACACACACATATATACACACACATATATACACACACTCTCTCCCCAAAACACGCTTACCAGCTTATTAGGGTAGCGAATAACAACAGGCTGTATGGGCACTGCTGGAATGAATGCACCTGCATGAAAAGAAAACAGGAAACAGAAGAAAAAGTATTACTCTTCAGATAAAGTATTAAAAACAGCCAGGCTACATGGCGAGCCTGAAGCAGTCTAACGTCGCTCTTGCGGTCAGAAGGCTGTTAACAGCTAAGCGAAATGTTAAAGGAAGGAAGTGTGAATGTGCTGTATATTTTTGACACAAATTCAAGCAGCAAGAACACATTACACACAGACCTGGTTTGAATGTGATCAGACAGGATCTGTTGGTACACGTTCCCTCTGGAAATATCATTATCTGCAAAGGATGAAAATGAAATATCAGTAATCATACTTAACTTAGTAAATCACAATGCCCCCCCCCCACACACACCAAATGTAGTCAGTTTAAAAGTTCACCAAGTGTGTCAGCCTCCAGGCCACAGGACCTCAGCGTTCTGCCTCATTAAATGCATACGATTCAACTCTTTAGCTAATTAACAACTGAATTCTGGGCATTAGACAAGGTAAAATGCTAATCTTTGCAGAGCTGTGGATCAGGAGGAACTCAATTTGACATAACTGGCATAGCTAAAAACAGCAGTAGCAGCCACAAAGTTATCTGCAGTTCTGTTTATCTTTGCAAATAACTAATAATAAGCACAGATTATTAGACCGTGTAATGTTGGACACCATATAAGCGATCTCAAATAGACTTAAGTCCTTGTGAAGAACGTAAGTGACAGTATGCAGTTCGCAAAATGTTAATTCAACAGGTAAAATATCCATCACTTCAGTGGGTCCTAAACTGGCATATGCACACCCTGAGGGGTACGCCAAATAACGTTCGGGCTACGTAAAAAAATTCTGATGTTTGAATTCTACACTTCATTTAATCTTTATTTCAATACATTAGCCAGCTGCGCAATTACACAGATACTACCCTGGTACAGGCAACACAAAGAGCTATGCACTCCACTCACCAACTGCTGAGTAAGAGATCCTCACTGAAACTGAGCAGACCTCTGAATACTGAGTTTAATCTAAAGCGCTGTTCTGTTGTTGGTGTGAATGAGTGCCCTTTACAAACTGTTGTAAAGGCCTGTATGATCCATGTTAGTTGTGTTTCACTTTCACAAACAGGATTCCATTCACGGTTGCAGTAGAGATGCAAAAATGAAAAGACCTACGCTCTCATTTCTGAGAACATAGAGAACAAACTAAAACCAAATATATTCCAACAAAATCCTCTAAATTCTGCTGAAGATAAAAGCACCAAACAACAAAACAGTGACGCATTACTGTTTAAGGGAGCATCTAAAAAGTGTACAATTTGTAAAAACTGTGAAAGCTTACATTTTAACACAAAGGTTGTCAAGGCTGCAGTGGTTATCTAAGGTTATTGTCGGCTTACTTACGGGTGATGTCACTGTGCTGAATGTGATCTGTGGCATGTTAGGGAACATATTGTTATTCACTGTTCAATTAACAGTGTCTCAAACATGCATGTGACCTCATATAGACCACTGTGAATTTTTGATTAACATTACTTATTCATATTATTCAGCACATCTGGGGTTTCATCGCATTATAAACATGCGCTGATTTTGTAAGGCTAAATGTCTTACATGTGCATCATGGCAAGATGTGCAGGTGGTCAAATGGATGAAGGGGTATGGGACTGTAAAAATTTCGGGAACCACTGCATTATTTGTTAGTTACATTGAGTCTCTTAATTCCAGTGCAAAGCTAAAGAAGCACACAGACACGAAACATGTCTTGGCCGATGGACTAAATTAAGAGAAAACACTGCACAAACTGAATTTCTGGCCAATCTGTTCCTTTAAGAAAGCCTACATTCAGAACACTTCCTACTGTCACTTGTTTAGATGTAGCAGGACACTATCACATGCCCTCTTCTGGCCATTCACAAAAGGCAGGGTGGGTAGAAGTGATGTGGCACACGACCTACACTCCCCACTGCACACACACTCCAGTGGAAAGCTCTAGCAGTGTGCTCCCAGTTTTGAAAGCCAATTACAGAAGCGGAAAGAAAAAAAAAAAAAAAAAATTTCATCTGGGTTCTTTTCTTGCATTGTTGGAGGAATTTTGGTAAGCCTGCCACTTCTGGGAAGATTCACCACTGTTCCGAGTTTTCGGTATTCACTGGAGTCCCAGAGCATTAGCAAAGGCTCTGTAGCCCTTTCCAGACAAATATTTCAGCAACTTTCTCATCTCTTATGGAATTTCCTGTGGCATAGTGTGCTGCTTGTTAAGACATTTTAGCCAGTTTCACATTCTATTTAAGTGATGTTTAGGTCAGCTGGGCTGGCAGAAATCAGGCCTGGGTGTGTCTTGTTTAGCTGATCCTAATTGTCAACTAAATTTGATAACTGGTTGATTGAGTAACTAAAGGGACAATTAGTTTTTCACACAGGGCCAACTGGTGTTTTTTTTTCCATCAACAAATGAAATGATCATTAAAAAATTGCATTTTCTGTTAAGGTTGTTTTTTGTTACGGTAAATTTTGTTTAAAGATCTGAAACAATGAAATATGACGTGAAAAAAAACAGAAGAAATCAAGAGACACAGCACTGCATAATTGTTTTCCCGTTTCTACCTTCTTGTTGTCAGATCCTGGATGTTCTCTAAAACCTGTCAGGCCTACCAAACACTGATTTATTTTCACTCCACATGCATAAACGGTCTCACAGCATACAGGGTTACTGGGAACGTCCAAGGAAGAAAACAAAGCGCCTGCATGGAAAAATCTACTGCCCATAACTTTGAAATTAAGCATCACCTGAGGCCACTCTCCTCCAGACTGAGCCCTCCTTTTGATTTCCTCCACCGTCTTCCTCCTGGAATCTTGGTCCGACCTTGACACAAACACGGGCCGGATGTATTTAATCAAGGCTGCAAGACAGAAAGATATTGAGACATTTTAGGAAATGTCAGCATTTGATAAGTAGGATGTGAACAGTTGTATTCTTGATTGAGCAGAGCAGAGTGAGGGATCACTAAACGAAACGTCTTGGTGTCCTTCTTCTGAACCTCATCACTTTAAGTCTGTGAAAAGGAAGACTTGCATTTATTTACTCCACCTTGAAATTTCTAATTCTCAAATAAAGTTCTCTACTGACAATCTCTAAAAACAGAAATTCACACTACTGCTACTACTACTGTTTCTAATATACTTAGTCCATTTTCAAATATATCCATCATTAACGTCATAAGCAAATAAGATTACTTAACAACTCAAAGCAGTTTTGAGGCAAATGTAAAATGAATTTAGCATTGTTATAAACTGCATGCCAATCACTGGTTTTGAGAGTCCTCTACTACACTAGCTTCATAGTTTTAAACTTTCTCCCAAACTTTCCTGTTAAAGAGGAATTCCACTGATTTTCTGCATAATTAAATCTTAAAGATGAGTCAACTAGAGAGACCTGAATGCAAAATGCACCATTCCAGAGTATATTAATGAGTCAGAATTGTTAACAAATGGTGGTGACAAGAACCAGATGTTAAATGCTTTAAAAATGACCTCACCGAAACTATTACATGAAACTGGGCCAAACTATTAATTGTTTTTATATCGAAACTGCAATTTCAAAGAGTATTACTACTATCAGCATTTCACAATATATAAAATGGCTATATTTGCATTGCAGACATTGCAACCCCTGTCCCCTATGATGTCCACTGTAAAGATACAGGAGCTGGTATGTTTCTCGACTATGCACCATTTCACATCAAACCACTCTGGCTTGGTGTACATCACAACAAATGAAATTGTGTAGAAATTTGGAACATGCTATGGAATTCCCCTTCCATCTTGCAGAAAAAGCTAAATGTTAAACTGCTGCTGTTCTGATCCAGGAATTCACAGAGTAGCATAACTTGATGGCAGGCTACTTGCATCATCACAAACAAACATGCAGAGACCAACTGCCTATAGATTTGACTAATATTGCGCTATTTTATGTTTCCTTTGACATTCAAGTGTATAGCTACGTTGGAACTGGTGTTGTTTCATAGCCCAACTCTTCTTCAAAGACACAGGCAGGTGTATATGGATATTTGAGAGGAGGCTGGGGTCAGTGTGCAAGTTCAGCCTTATTTATCCAGTGCCATTAGACAGGGGTTAAAGGTCTTGGTCACGGGTCCAAAAAAAGTAAGACAGGCACCAGCATATCCTCTTACTGGAGGCCCCCTCCATTCAACCCTCAACAGCCCTGGGAGCTTACAACCATCAGCCCATGTATGAAAAAAGGTGTATGCTGGCCCTTAGAAAAATGCAATATATTAATAATATATTGCAATATTTCCCTTTGAAGAAAGATTTAGGTACACAGTTCACATGTCTAAGCAGTGAAATACAAGCCTCCATCACTTGTTACCTACATTAGCCTTGTAGTTTCAGTGCAAAACTAATGGAGCAAACTGACAAACGTCTTAATTCAGATCAGTCTTATAGAAAGCTTACAAAGAGAACACTTTCTACTTTCACTTGCTTTAAATGTAGCAGGATGGAATCACACACTCCCCTCTGACCATTAACAAGAAGGGAGAGATGAAGGTCCTGCAGTGATGTAGCACACAACCTACACTCCCCACTGCACACACACTCCAGTGGAAAGCTCTAACAGTGTGCTGCCAGATTACTACAGAAGAAAAAAAGTGTGTTTCGAAATATACTAACAACATTTTGCAACATATTCTGTTTTTCTGTGGGAAAATGGTGAGCATGGGAATTTAACAAGATCAGTGACAGACCTTAAAGGGCCTATATCATACAAAACTGAATTTTCCTCATTACTTTGAAGAAAAGAACTGTAGTACGGATGTAGTGTGTAAACACTTGACATTTGAAAACATACCACTCACTCCCCGGTCTATACAGTCCATCTATGGAAACTAAGCTACAAACACAGATTGTTTTTAAATTAGCCGTTTCTGTCACAAAAACAAACACTTTTCCATATACATGCTTATTCAGCCTACAGCAGTTTAGCTATGCCCATTAGTACTGAAGTTATAAGAGTGTTTCAGCCTTGCTTTTTGCATGATGCAGGGAAGTCAGTCAGAACAAAGATAATTTACATATATCAGTTTTAAATGCACAGTTACAAAAACAGCCTGTTTAATTCTAATGAATAAAAAGAGGTCAGAAAATATGTTTTTGGTACATAAAAGCATACAAAAGTTATAAGCAGCAGGAAAATGTTGGATATGGGCCCTTTAAATTTACTTTCCACTATAAAAAGTAATGCTATAACTCCTAATAAGAACATAAGGAAATCAGGTAGAATAAATAACTGAACAGTAATATGACTAGTCTTCATATAAATGAATAAATATTTTATTGACACTTTTCACATATTGGTGCGTTTCCTTGCTTTAGATAGAGTAAGGTCATCTGGGACACTAATTTTTGCTTTCAAACACTTCCACTTCCTCTACAAACCCTAAACTCTAACACATGACAGCACTAGCTTAGAATGATCTCTCAAATCAGGAAATACACACAGTTCACTTTAAGCTGTCCCAAATTACCTGAACCCACCTGAAGTCAGCAGACATTTTCCCTTTGTTTTTATTGATCAAGGAATATTTGTCTTGCTTACTTGAGCTAAAACAAAATTTAACCAGACCTGGAAAAGTTTAACTGTGGAGAGAGTATGCTGCTGTAGTGGTCATGCAGGTTGGATACTGACCTGCCTTCATGATACTGTTACCTTTAAATTAAACCCGAAGTTCACATGAAATAATCTTAAAATGTCTTTCTTTGTTCCTGGATTACACTGTGAGATGTCTTTGCCAAGATGAACACCAAACAAATATTGCGAGACCTTGATATCAATCCAATAAGCAACTATTTCTCATGTACACCATATTAAAGACAAGTCCTATTAAACTGGGAGCTTCACACAACACACAGGCAACACATGCACCTGCAAGACCCTGACACACTGCGAAGAACTGCATGACTGTGGTAGAGTGGAACAAACACACAAAGAAATGGGCTGAGTAATTAGCCTGTGGCCCTTCAATCATCCATAATAAGGTGTGTGTGTGCGTGTGTGTGTACTCCTGGTAGACAGAGCACAGATTAAGCTTCCTGTTTCACTTCTTCTCGTGAGCTACAGAGGCGTATTTCCGGCATGACCATATGAAACAAACACTCCCACAGCCCCTCAAAAATCAGTTTTACATGATTTTCTCTTTAATCCACAGGTAGTCAGACACACATGCTTGAAGTCGGACGTTTGCTTCTTTACGTTTGCACTAAGGCTGTGCCAGTTAACTTAACTTACAAGTAATGGAAACATACACCAATTAGCACTGGGCAAACTACATATCTTACTGCATATTTTGCTTATGTGGTTTCTGACACTGTATACTGTACTGTTAACGGTTAAAATGGACTAAGGATGCAAATTCTGGTTAAATATATTGGTCAGTGGTTGGCGGTGAATCATTAACTGGCAAGCCTAAAATTAAGAATGTGGCCTAACAAAAATGACAAAACAGATGTGAAATTTCATTGGCTGAGCCACATTCGAAACCCATTAGAGCACATTTAAGAGCACACACGTTAACTGAATTCTCTATTAAGGCACTGACACAATAAAAAGCTTCTACTACTGGGAAGCTCTCTACAAGATTTTGGAGCGTGTCTGTTTTGGCCCATTTATCCAGAAAAGTATTTGTGAGGTCAGACATTGATGTTTTACGAGAGGGCCTGGCTCACAATCTCAGACCTAGTTCATCCGAAATGTGTTAATTGGGGTTGAAGTCAGGACTCCGTGCAGGCCAGTTCTTCCACACCAAACTTACCCAGCCATGCGTTTATGGACCTTGCTTTGTGCATGGGAACAGAACAGGGTCTTCCCCAAACTGTTTCCACAAGGTTAAGGGGCCTAGGCCAACCCATGAAAAATCAACCTCACAGCATTATCCCTCCTCTACCAAACTTTACTTTTGCACAGTGCAGCCAGGCAGGTAATGTTATCCTGGTATTCACCAAACTCAGACTCATCCATCAGACTGTTCACTACTACCTCCATTACTTGTTAACTACACTTACCTCGTAGCAAAAGTAAAGAAAACAAAAATAAGGAAAAAATTGTGTGAATGTAATACAATTTGTAGCTGAACTAGTCTTTAAAATCAGTTTTTGCTGAGGAGCCGTCTCAGCCTTTCTCTTTCTCTCTGCAAGAGTGGTTGAGTGTGAGGTCCATAAACCATCCCACTGAGGCTGGGATGAGTTCACTATCTGTGGCATCTCATCCATCAACCTCCTCCACCCTCTAAACTGTTGGAAAGGGTCCGGATGGTGGGCTGTTGATTGAGATGCAGACTGACTGAAGGGGTGTAGATCATGAAGGAAGGTTTGAGTCAGGGAGGGGGAGAGACAGAGATCGAGGAGGAGAGGGAGGAGGGGCAGGCACAGCTCTCTGTCTGCAGGGATTAGACAGTGGTGAGAGGCTCAGAGCTGTCCAGGATCATCAGAGGACTTAAAGCCTTCTCTGGAAAGGCCTAAGAGAGTTTAAAATAACAGCACATGCGCCACACTCTACGCCACACGCTGCCTAGCGCTGCTTAGTCTGTTCTCAGCCTGCTCCATAACTAGCTGCTGCACACTGAAAGTTTACTAAAGCAATAGCTTCTTGAAAAATGTACACCTTTACATGTTATTTCCTTAATTACTTTTTATTATTTTTGCCATTATATTAACTTTCATTTCATGAGACACCATAATACTGGTATTCACTTTTATATAGGTTAGAGGTGGTGTTTTTTTCCCCCCAATACTGATACTGCAACATTCCAATATTGGGCAATAATGATCTGATGTTCTCCCACCTGACTGGCTACATGTAATGTGTACATTTGATATTCTTTCAACAACAGTGTTAGTATTTGTCCTCAGTTAACTGAGCAAACCAGCCTGACTAGATGTGCAGTGTATCCTGTTGTGAGAAGGTGCGGCCCCTCACTTCCACCCTATATGTTACTTTTTTCCCCATGACATGCTGAGCGTAGGCTCATGTTGGATAATGGGATGTGCTTATGGAGAACAAGATGTCGAAATTCAATCCATCAGTGTATGCCCAGTTAGGGTTTTATTTAAACAGGGTCAATATCCTATGATTTCCTCGCATTTTATTTTTTCTCTTGAAGTCCACTTAGGGCTGGGCAATATGACAATATTTATCATTATTGTGACAAACTGCACCACAGTGTGTGACAATATGCTTTTCTGCACATATTGTGGATATCATTAGTACTTCCTAACTGTTAGTTTGATTATAAAGAGTAAAAAAAATGTCCTGTTTCATTTAGTGCAGCACTGTACATAAAATGTTAATACACATCTTTGTATTCATAGTCTTTAAATAGTCTTTTTTTAAATGGGGCCCTATTTTCTATTTTTAAATTTATTAAATGTCAGAAAAAGAAACAAAATAAAAGTAGACAAGGCAAAGTAAAAACTAACTAAACTGGCACTTTAACTAGCTCAGGCCACTGAAGGTGACCAAACACAGGAGATGAACTGAGGGAGCAGCGATGCCTCTGTTTACTTGATGGCAGTCCAGGGAGTTTATATCCATAAGCGGAACAGCAATGGGAGGCACTGTCACAGCATCAGGAGGGGTTTTGGTTGTCAAATATATCTCAGAGAGATGGATGCATTTACATTTGTACAACATCAGGCTAATACGTGTCTCAGACCACCTCCTGGATTGGTTTGAGTGATCAGATTTAAATCTGTTTTGAATGTGTCTTGGGTGCATTTACACCTGCAATTTTATGTGGATAATTTCTATCCGTATCTAATCCTGATACAGCTGAAACACTCCTTAGAACTTTAGCGTGAATGGGCAGGGCTAAACTTAAGATTATTTCATATGAACTTTGGGTTTAACTTAAAGGTAACAGTATCATGAAGGCAGGTCAGTATCCAACCTGCATAACCACTACAGCAGCATACTCTCCACAGTTTTCAGGTCTGGTTAAATTTTGTTTTAGCTCAAGTAAGCAAGACAAATATTTCTTGACCAATAAAAACAAAGAGAAAATGTCTGCTGACTTCAGGTCATATTAAAGACTATTAAACTGGGAGCTTCACAAAACATATACAGGCAACACATGCACCTGCAAGACCCTGACAAACTGCGAAGAACTGCATGATTGTGGTAGAGTGGGAAAAACACAAAGAAATGGGCTGAGTAATTAGCCTGTGGCCCTTCAATCAACGATTAGGGCTAAACTGCTGTAGGCTGAATAGGTGGACATATTTAAATGAGTTGATTCTCGTGACATCACAGTAACAACTAATTCAAAAGAGGCTGTTCTTGCAGCTCCATTTCCATATATGGACTGAGTCTGCTACAACAGAGTCTGTCTGATCTTGCACTGTAGAAATATTTTGGCCAGTACCAACGTTAAAAATTATCAGACGTTCACATATTTAAACATTCTGGGGTTAAATATGTTGTATTTTGTGCTTTCTGTCAGTGGTGTGTGTGTAAATGATTTCTGACAGAACCATAAATAAATATATTAATAACATCACAAGCCCACTTACTTCCCCACAGTGGAATGTCCTTGCTCTCGGCCTTCATGACAATGGTGGCCATGGTCATGGTGACTGGCATGGCGTCGAAGTAGGATGAGTGGGGGCCAAGGGTGAGGATGGGTGCCTCAGCAGGCAGAGCCTGTCTGCCCTTCACACTGATCCAGTGGAAGCCGCCTGCAAACCACATGACCCGCATGATGGTTCGCAGAATAATGTCCACCACCCTGCAGAAGCAAAAACAAATTGTATTTTCAAACAGAATGCATGTGACACCCAGACACGTCAAACTGAGTATTCAGCACACTGTTAATACACATAGAAAAAAATAAAAAACAGAGAAATGAATAAAGAAGAATATTAAGAATATTTCAGTACAATTTCCAAGCTTACACAGCCAATATGTAGCATAACACTCACATTTTTAATAGTACATCATATTCTATGCTGTACTCCAAGGGGAAAACAAAGGGGGGGGGCACTTAAGATTTTACACTTCTCCTCCTCAGAAATATTGTTACAATGTAAGAATGCCTGCACAGTAGATATTTAATATTTTATTGTCATGTTGCTTCCACCCTGCTCTTCAATAACCAGTACTCTGCACCATTAATGCACATGAACCATACATTCAGTACAACAGAATAAGAGACTTTCTAGCTACATGGTGCAAACTAGCATTTGAAGACATTTCAAATACACAGTTTTAAGTATAATTTACCTGTAAATAAATAAATGCAACGATTTGTCACCTGTCTGAATCGTAGTCAACCAGAATCTTAGTCAAGATGTTAGATCATCTGTTTAATCATAAAACGCTATTTCTGCACACAGAACATGTAATGTAAAAGTATTTGGGGTCAAAAAATTAAAGAAGGAAAAAAAAAATTTTGGCTGGACTGAACTGTTCTCTCATGACTCAATTCACTGTTTATGTCCCGTTTTCTCATGAGCGTGAGTTTCGTGGACCACACTGCTGAATGACTCCAGCGTGCCTGATGAGAAAATGAATTAGTGAAAGTAGTGAAGGATAAAGTAAGGAAAAAAAACTCAAGAGGGAAACCTGTTAAAAGTGGGAGGCGGCTGTTAGAATTTCAAACGTGAAATATGAACCCGACCCCGAAATATTTAAGAAATGACGTCCGAACCACACATGAATATTTCAAGCTGTACAGCAGACACAGATAAAGCAGCCCTATTGTGTACTTCTCTTTATAGTAACGTGTAAAAAGAAAATATCAAACAGCTTCATTACAAAAACATACCTACCATTTTAACTGTGTTCATTCAGTGTATTAATGAGTCACATGTCTAGAGTATAGCCTATGTGGCATGGTGGGCTTTTCTGTTAGCAGGCTTTCTTATTTTGGCTCTGTGAGCCATGTGACTGTGGTTCTGATAATGATATTAGACACAGTGCAGTGCGTGTGGCATCAGGAGACAGTGAGAGTCACTGAGGACCAAAGGAGATCACACACTGTGTCTTCAGAGACACAGGAAGCTCATCTGTCCTAAGAAAGACTCGTGACTCAGTCATGGCACACTGGGATAAGTGGCGGTCAGGTGAGTCACGAGGCAGCCGGACATGACCTTCCTTACTGATGGACCGATTCAGACCAGCGGTTACAGAAGAGCTGGGAGCTGGTCAGCACTAATTTAAGTAATAACTACAGATGTAGCCTCCATGAAAAATGATCAAAAAAGAAAACAATAAAAGAAAGGGTGTTTTGACAGCGGCATGCTTCTGTAAGGCAGGGCATTAATGTCCGTGCAGCAATATGCGTCATTACCACAAGCAGCAATGATGGCACACAAATTTTTGAATCTTTTAGGGTCAGTTAAACATAACAAATGCAGTATTCGCAGTCTTGTCTGTACTCTCACCTGAACACGGAATCAAAGTGTGACTTCTGTGGAATTATCCACTGTCCTTTTCGGCCACTTTACACATTAGATTATCACTTGTGATTAACATCTTGCTAACCAGGCTCAGGCACATGCTCGCATGAAAAGGAGGGATCATGTAAATGCACAAAAAGCGCACAACGAGACATTAAGATCACCAGTGTAGTGAAAACAGCTGATGCGAGATTCTCACAGGTACATTCTCACATAAAACTGTAAATGTTAAAAGCTGACCTACCAACAAGTGTAGGTACAAGACAGGTGCATCTAATAAACTGGCAATTCAGTGTCCCAATAAAGTCTGTCTGAAGATTGCAGACAAATCTCACTCACTGTCTAGTGCCTTACTATATTATGTTAATTTGCTACTACAAAACACAAGCGTCATTGACATGATTGAGAAGTCTGCAATAGTGCAGTTATGCAAACTATAATAGTTTAACTTAGAAAAGATATTTCTCTGTTCTCATCGTTATCTCGACAAGCTAACATGGTTCTGCATCATCCACTGAGCATAAAATAATTAACCTCATGTAGAACACGGCTGGCACTCATCTAACGCATCTGTTACCTTTAGCGTTAGGTCATCTACTCGTTCAACTCACAGAGGCTAAAATATCTCCTTCGCTTTTGAATGATTGAGGTAGTGTGTTTTCAAATTAAAACAATGTTTACAAATGTATTTCTCCATCTTCCACCACTGTGCTACTGAGTTTGCTTGGTAAAAGTAAGTGTATGGCTCTGTAGATCAATAGATTGATAACTGGCAAAGTAACACTGCAACAGGACTCAAAACTGATTCTCAGTGGTCATCATTCAAAATGTAAACAAACGTAATTTAGTGGTCTTTTTGGTTTCATGCAAGCTAGCCAAATTCTTTCCATAGAGTAATGTCTCCAGCCTATTGAAATACATGTGTGGTCGCCGTCAACTTTTTACGCAAGTTTGGTCAGATAATCGTGTCTCAAAAACATAATTGTGAATATATTATAAATACTCAATACAATGCTCAACCCTGCCTGAACTATGATCTTCATACCAGTTATTTAGATGTAAATGTGTGAAACAAGCCTCCTACCTCCTCCATAAGCACTGTGGCTCCACGGCAGCTTCGGAACGCCCCATGGTAGCGATGAAGGCAAAGGGCCACGCCAACAACATCATGAATGCAGCGACGAAAAGCCGAATGGGGAAGAGTGTGAGCGTCATCACCCCAATCTGCAGAGAGACACAACAAATATCAACAAGTAATTCCAGGAGCTGACCAACATGACCCAGAGTACTTATCAGGAGAATGTGTGAACATTGATTGTGACCAATTTGTGATTCCTGAGCTCAGTCTTACAGAAAACAGATAACCTTAACAAAATCCCAGCCCTAGACAGAATACTCAACGGCTTATATAACACAGAAGCAACTTCCAGTGACCTTCCCAGGAGAGGTTATCTTGGGTAAACACAGATAAAGGGACTATCCCTCTATGCAGCCTGAACATGCAAGGCATCTAAATAGTGCAACACACAGGATACTCTACAAAACTGAAAATAAAGAACCTGGCACACACCACAAAACAAGATGTCTTATGAAGATTCAATGATCCCATGATGCACAACGCATGCTGAATCATGTCATTTCCTAAGAGTCTAACGTTTATCTAAAGCGCTTATCTAGTAACAACAATTAAGAGCACGGCAGCTATCTTGGGTCAATATTTACTTTTATGCTATCACCGCTTGGCCACATTCATACACTGATAGCTTTCAGAGTGGCTAATTAAGAGTGGCAATGCGGAGCTCAGGAGTGGCTTAATTTGCTTTAAAAGTCTCCATTGGGCCGATTTATTTGAGTTTATCACAGACCAATGGGCTGCCAAATCCCATATCAGTGAACAGAGACATGAGATAACACACTAAAACTAGCTCCCTCTTAAACCCTAACACGGGCACTAAGAGGCAGGAGGAGACTGAACTGTGAGCACAATAAGACTTTATTGCCAAGTGCGTGCCCGAGAATTCCTCTACACTGAAAATACTGGAAATCCATTTATGGTGAGACTGACGTCTGCTGTGTCACAACAGCACTCTCGGCTTTCCTGAGATGCAAAGATAGGCCTGCAGGAAGGAATAGTTAACACGCATGGCATTTTCGAATCAATGCCACTTGCACATCTGTATAATAGATGTGGGCAAAAAATAAATGAATAAATGCTCCCGCTAAAACTACATCTTGGCTGGTGTTAAATATGCCAACTAGTTGATGGTACTAAGTACGTGCACTAGGCATGTGCCAATATAAAAATTTTATTCCACAAACCACAAAATTGACCTTTTATCGCTGTTTATGATATATATAAACATTTTTAGTGATAAACCTACAGAATACTGTGGAAGTATTTATACATACACAACGCACAAGTATAAGCAGCTTCACATATCAATTACACACAATACAGTAATGATTAAAAACCAGCTAAAAACTACTGACCTTTACTGAGGGATGTGAAAATGCTCAAACATAAAATAAATCATAGGATATACTAGTAATTTTTTAAACATTTTAAATGTTTTACCATCACAGACATCTGACAGCTAGGCATGTCATGATATAACAGCGCTTAATGTGGAAGTACCTTAAGTAGCGTTTGTTTATCCACCGCTACGACAATGCTAATTTCTACTAGCGCCGTAATAGCTTTACCCATGTTAAGTTGTCAAGCTAACAGTTCAATACCACACAGCTCCAGCCTACACATTCAAAGACATTTAAAGAGACATTAAAAACACGTATCCATCTCAACTTAAAGCCTAACTGAATATTAGCCCCTTAGCAGTCTGCCAAGATGGTTTTTAAACAAACCAGCGTTCTTATGAAGGTTATGTTTGGTATGGTGAGTGCAAATATACATGTATAAGACAGACCCTGCATTTCTCTTATTCTTCCAAGCCATGTGGGAGGTGAGTTTCCACCTTTTTTTATGAAGGACTGCCCCTCCTCCTGCCGTGCTGTGGCTGAGCGAGCTGTGAATGTTTATCTGTGTTTACACTGTGGCTCAGATGAGGGAAGGTATCACATGATCAAGCATGACAGCATATGGGAACTTGTGAAATCAGAGCTGATCTTTTTTTTTTTATTTAAAAAAAAATAAAAAAAATCTCTGGTAGAACAACTTCACTAAACTGCAGTGGCGGTATTTTAACATGTCCACAAGAACATTACTGCGCGTACTTAATACTGCAGTATACTTTATTACCACATACTAGCACAAGTCTACAGAGCACTAGCACAGCATGCTCTCTGAACATATACTGTACTATGTCCTGCATAGTTGTATGGCTAACTACTACGTATTTAATGCACCAGCATGAGCTTAACTATACTGTTGTTACACGTCGCACAGGCAGGAACAAATACTTTAAAAAAATGCAATATTAAATTCCAGAGTTTGAGTACAAATTAACCACTAAAACTGCATGTTACCCTCATACAATTTATTAAAGTTTGTAAGAATTCCTTAAAATGTGGTTTTAAAATAATCACAAAAGAAGGTGTTCAAGACCAACTTTGTAGCCAATAGTTTTTTTTCCACATGACTTGGGCAGAATGCTATCACTGTCCAGGGAAGTGTAGCTTTCAGCTGTATTTCAACCATCTGGTTGCCTGTTTTCTAACAGCAACAGTGTGTGTGAACAATGGCCTGTCTGACACGACTGGGTGTCTGTAGTATCACTTCTCCACGTCTATGCCAAAGAAACACAACACTACAATGAGCTCACCAATACGTGTTGTGTGTCACTACATACTGCTATCCACATCTACATCTATCACCCCACTAATAATAACAATATAAACCACATGATCAAGTGTGAGAAAGTTTGACTGGATTCATTTCTGATAAGTACTGTCTGTTTTGCAATACTGATTAGAGTCAGGAAGACCTGAAAGCGATGGCCATAGTATCGGCTAACACAGGCTATCCATAATATCTGTACAGGTGTACTGCTTTCCAACAAATTATTAATATTTCAAGGTTGGCCACTGTCAACTGCACATGAGGATATCACTGTGCCATAAAGTGAACAGAAATTAAAGGAGGTTATTCCTGACTGCAGACATGCAGCAATGATTGGTTAATCATTTCATAATAAACTTAACAACTAATGCAGACCTTTTCAATAGTTTATTTTTGGGAGTTTGTTATGGAAATATCACTGGCTTAAGCCCTCTCCCCTTTCAAAATCACATGTTTAGAACAGTGCTGGCAAAAGCTAGTCTGACAAATGGAGCACTAGCTGCTGTGTGTGGGAGTAAGTGAATGTCCTTTTCCTGTCCATCCTCTTCCTAATTGGGCACCACACAGGTTCCTGAACTCCTTAGAAACAAGAGGAAATCAACATAAATCAATGATGGTGGAGCCATTAACTCCAAATTGAAGCTTGAACTTCTCTCCAGAGACTGTGAACGCGATGGGAGGTTCGAAACCCAAACCACACTTGAACAGGCTGCCGTTTCCAACCAGCTTCAGACAAATAAGAAACCAAACTAACAGATATAGGACTTTAGAATACACTACGTACTGTATTATACTTCCTTATAGAAGGAACAAACGTTTGTGGTCATATCTGCAGTTACAGGACAGTAAGCTACTACAATACTGGAATTAACATTTATTCAACATTGAATTATTTATGTAATTTGTTAAGTCTCTGTTGATTAGCAGTTACCATGGATAGACCTGGCATTACATTTTCCAAGTCAGGTTACTGGAACCTAAACACTAAAACACAGGTTTCAAAATCTTTTCATAACTATATACAACTGGCTTTAGACATTTATCTGAGAAGTTAAGTTCTTTAAACATTTCAATGCAGGTGGGCAAATTAATTAAATATTTGAAGCAATTATTGCAATGCTTTTTTGGTCTAAAATAAACCTGTAAATATGTAGAGATTTTCCAAATGCAACACAAGAAAAAAAGAAAGAATTTCCTGGCTTAGTGGTCGACTGTATCATGCAGATTTATACTTGGTATGAATGTTTTCTACAGGTTAAAAGCGAAGTTGTTCAACATGCCCAGGAAGGTCTGAAAAGACATGATAGGAAAAACAATTCACACATAAAAAAGAACAAAAGCTTAAAGTTAAGTCAGGTTTATTTAACAGCGATATGCTGAAAAATATCACGGTTACAGCCGCAACCGCTGTCCATTCCTCCCCGTCAAAATAAAACACGGGGGAAAAAAAGCAGAGAATTGCCAGAAGTAAGAGTTTCTAGCAAGATGATATCATGCTTTGTTTCTGCCCTCTATAATGCCGTAGTGTTTCCGGCAACGTGGCAAAGACATGAATGAAAACCAAAGTCATGAACTTTTGTGGCGGACACCTCCCCTCAAAAAGACTTACATGGTACATGTGGTCTGTACGAAGGAAACAACATTGCAACCCACAAGGAAGCACAGCCAAAAGATGGAAATTTTCTATTGGCAGTAATTACTCTTGACAGCAGCATTTGGCTGTTGTTTCACAGGCATGTCTAAAATGTACTACACCATTGACCGTCCTCAGTAACTAATCACTGGAGGCCTTGAATTGTGCTGCTTTAATTAGCAGTAGTGAGGCTTAGGGGATTCTGGTGGTTTTGAGGCAGTCGACCTGAAAGCCCATCCATGAGACACTGTAATGCAAAAAGTGGTCTCAGGACGTCAGTTCGGTTTATGTTGCTTCAATGCAGCTGAAAAGAAAGCATCAAAACCCCCTGCATGTGTTGATGAACTGCAATACGCCAAAGGTCCAAATGGGAGTTTGAAGAGATCAGAGAAGCAGCTTGATGCAGTTCCAGTTCACAGCGGGTCCATGGTGCAACCGATTTGGACATACTAAGTCACCATTTGCCAATCAAATCCTAAACGTTGGACAAACAGCTTTACCTAATGCTGAAGGCATCATCAACAACTTGCCTTGCTTCAACTGAGACATTCACAAACTGTGAACAGCTTCAGCTGCGCCATTACCACATTTATCACTACAAAAAAGTAAAACTGTTACTACGTGTCAGTGCGTTGCAAACAGAGCATAACACAGCCAAGATTAGTACTTTAATGCTCTCTCTTCAGAGGACATGTGTCTAGTCAGCTAAATAGTGTTAGTGGCATTTTAATCTGGGTAATCAGAACCAAAGAGGGATTACACTGTTGCTGCCCAACATGCAGACCAAGACATGTCATTCTTCCTTCAGGAACAGTGATCATTTCACCAATCTCTCACCCTTTCTGTTCACAAAAACTTTCATCCTCTTCTCTGCTCCTCTATCTATCATTTCATCTCTTTCCTGAAAACGTATATGTTGAACAGTTGTTCTTCTCAGGGAGACAGAGGACATAAAAAAAATATGTATCTCTCTTCAGGTGAACTGACTGTTTAACCAAGATCTATCTTTCTTTCTTCATTAAAACTGATGATTTCACCATTTCTACCCCTTAATATCCATGCAAACTGTTTCCCCTCTCATCAGTGAGAACTGCTCACTCCTCATTCCTGCATGCTAACCAGCTACAAAGCTGATCCCCGCCTTCTTATTTCCACACAAGAGACAGAAACCGGTCTGATTAGACTATTTAAGAAGTAAAACCGCTAGCTAGCCAGTTAATGAACAAAACTTGTTTTCCAGTGTTCACGTTTGGCCAGAACCAAAGCCATCGGACGATAAACTCCTTAAGAGTTTCCCCACGGGCCAGTAAAGTAAGGCTAGCTAGCCGGCTAGTTACGTTCATATGAAAGGCCCACGTTAAAACGAAGCCAGGTGCGGAAAGGGGGGAAATAAACTAAGCAGAGCTTTTAATTAAAAAGACAAAGTCATATTACACATCAACAGTCATTAACTGGCGTTACACAGATAACCTACCCGGCGTGTTTCTGACAAGAGAAAAAGAGAGGGTTAGCTCGGTTCGCTAACTGTTAGCCACCCTGAGCTTCGCTGGCTAACGTGAAGTGATGGATGCTGCTGCTATATAAAAAAGAAAGAAACGCGTTAGCGGCAAAAACTTCAAGTCCAGAATAAAACAAATGAGCGATATAGATATGCATTTATAAGGTCTACAATAAAGTACACGACTTAAACCCAATATAGTTACCTAGCTTATAAAGGCTAAATGACTTGCTATGGCCTTCATTCAATAGTTAACTCATTTAAAAGCAGCACTTCAATGCTTGTTAATCCTGGAGTAAATTCAAGAGCGATATTCGTTTGTGTACTTGAAGACTACAATAAAATAAAAGAGAAAAACCTACGCTGCACTGTTTAAGTGTCCTAGGTTCTCATTAAATAATGTTTGCTTTGCAAAGAAAGCCCGTAATAAAATAAATAAATGACCTTTGTTTAATGTTTTGCAATGAAGAAGCAATACCTAGCTATGTATATAGAGCATACAAAGGCTGAAGCGCCCGCTTTTTTCTCAGTTTCGGAATAAGAATCAGCCGTGTATCAAATGGATGAACTGTTGAATATGGCCTCCTTAGGTCTCATTTAATAGTTCTGTAATAAAAGAGCAACAGCTGTGTGTATCTGAAAGCTGTTTGCCATGGCCTGATAAGTCTTGCATCAGGAGAGCAACATGAAATGATGAAGAATGAACAAATCTACTAGCTTCATGTATGATATGTATCTGCTGGCTAACGAGGCTAAACGCAGCGAGGCCGCCGTGCTGCAGCAGCACATGTCCTGATGGAGGCTTGGCCGCAGAAACGCGTGGTTTTTACCTGGAGCTTCTGCCACGGGGTGAACCTCAGGTCGTGCACGAAAGGGTTAGTGAAGGGGAGAGCCAGCTCCTTCCTCCCGTCTCCGTCCGCCGAGCTCCGTCTGTTGCCGGCCACCTTCATCGTGTCCACGGGGCTCTGCGGGTTTATCTGGCTCTGTGCTCCGCGTCCGAGCGGATCATGTGGTGGGAGCAGGGCGGGGTGGGGGGCAACAGAGTCCCGATGGGGGCCTGAGAGAGAGAGACACAGCAGCCGAAAACACTAGCTTAAAGACTGGCTTGCAGGGACGGCACCTAGTGATGGGGAGTTCGATTCAGCTACTGAACCGATTCTTACGAACTTTTCGTCTTAACGAATCGGACCGTTCGAATTAACAGATTCACTGCTTCAGATTCTGATTCAGCTCGACTTTATTCTAATCTCCATCACAAAATGAACACGAGGATTAGTCCAGGCAACGACACTCTCATCTGCGCCATATACAGAAGCTTTAGATTCATCAAGCTAGTCTGTTGTCCTCTCTCATGGAGTTGCCCAAGGAGTGCTCGACAGTCAAAGCAGTTTGGTGATGATTTCCTTGATCTGATAACTTACAAAACCTTACAATTCAGTGGTGAATTTAATGAGTTAAATAAAGGTGTATTATAACATGAAAACCGAAACTATGCTTGATTATGGACACGGAGGACTTGAAAGAAAATGTAAATAAATCCAAAGCTTGTTGGCGTTACAACGCGAAATTTTATATTTTCGTTTTATTACATTACATTTTAGGAGAAAAAAAAAACTTTTTCAGACTATGTACAGTTTGTAGGTGATAAAGATTCCTTCGTTTGGGGCCTGTAAATCGTTCCAACTACAAGGAACCGATTCAAATGAACCGATTGTTCAGGAGTCGGACTTTTCTAACCGAACCACGCCTGCGCTGCTGTGAACTGCTGAAGAGCGCATGCGCCGTGGACCTGAAGCGCGCATGCGCCCTGCATGTGCACCCAGTGCGCGCGTGTGAGGGGAAGTGGGCATCTTCTGGTCAGGCCTGTGCTTGTGTTTATTTACACTATACACGGAGAGCACCAGTAACAATGAGTGAATATTAATGTGGATAGCACAGGCGATTTGACCTGCTTTTTATCTGAACTAACGTGCAGTTATATGCATGTTTGAGCGCGACTTTATAGCAGTATAAAATATTGCTACGCAATTTATTATTTTTACTGGTAATAACGGTAGCAGTAGTGCCAGTGTACTAGCAGTAAATTAATTTTTATGCGTACTGTAAAATGACATATTAATATTATTTGTGATTTATCCAATATATGCATTTTGCATGTGGCTGATGGCAATTGAATCCTCACAACAATGTTCTAGCATTTAGTGTAAAGCCTTCCCAGAAGAGTAGAGGCTATAACTTCAGCAAAGGGGGGACAAACTCTCTATTAATACCCTTATCTCAGAAAGTCAGCAAACTTTTGGACGTGAAGTGTATATATACTGACTCAGCAGGACTGAACGCACTCTTAGGAATGAAATTTATAAATGTTTTCAGAAATGTTTGCATATTGCCTATAAATAGGGTAAGCCACTACATCTCAAGCTCATTCTCAGTCTTATAGTATTGTAGCTACAGGTTTCCCCAAAACCCACCCTGTAGAAATCTAACAACTTTCAGTGATCAAAGTGACCGGCCTTCTCCCTCGGCTCTGAAACTCATCTGAGGCAGTGGGTGAGGGCCTATTTTTGTCTCCGGTATTGAGCTCCTTTATTGTAGCGGTGGGAGTTGAGCGCTTTCTGCATGTTATTTTTGGATGGAGAAGGAGATGTATAGAGCTGCGTAGTTCAAGTCTTTATCATCTGTGTGTCTGTGTGCGGGGGTTTTAGTTTCTATTTGAGAGTCTGCATATTAAACTCTGAAGACTGCATGTTAAACTGAGCGGAGTGTAGGGGAGATTCACAGAGCCTGATACAAAGTAAATGTTATTTAAATGGAAATAAAACAGGAGCACAGAGTACTGGCTACCACGTCAGATAAATAATGAGGCTAAAGTGAAGAAAAATGGGGAAAAACTTTTTCCCCAGGTGTCCACTCTATTAGAAAGCCTTCCTTTGTAGTTCCTATTTGCTGGTGTAAAGCTAGAGAGTGTAGGTCATCTGCTGATGCCTAGTTTTTGCTGGACATCTTCTAGTCTTCATCAGTTTTCAGTTTCTGACCACAGAGTTGCTCTTATTCTTTACTGGATATTTTTGGGTGGTTGACCGCTCTCAGCCTAGCAGTGCCAATGAAGTGTAAAAACTCCAGCAAGACCACTGTACCTGATAGACTCCAGCACCACACACACCACCATCCCACTACCATCTCAGTGTCACTGCTGTGTCGAGAATGGACCACCACACAAATAATATCTGGTCAACAGTGGTATTGAGGTGAGAAACTGACAAATGATGAATGAGGTAGAGGATGTGAAATTATGTATGACAATAGATGGGCTATGCACTCCTATTCAGTGGACTTTTGAGGCCCTCATAAAAAAGGATAACAAATTCAACAGTAAGGTCCAAGTTTGATAACTCTAAATCTAAAGTTGTACACTTGATTCATCGAATAAGCACATGCTGACGACTAAAACAATGCTAACTGAAAAAGTGTTCAGGGCACTAGAAGATGCTTTTAGCTTGGAAATGACAGCAAAAGAATTTCATGGTATCTTGGTGTTTATGGGCTATGTGGCCATCTTGTGGTGGAGAGAAATAAAATTTAGGGGGAAATAGACTTGGCTGCTGCCATCTAGTGCTGTTTAGATGAAATGACAACTGTACTTTGTTGATTTTTTGACAACTCAATACGTTCACTCGTTATCATTAATTAAAATGCACTTTTATTAATTTTTGTCCATTTTACATAAACCAGTAACTTAAGGACAGCACAATTGTACAACAGTTACAACAGCACAGCATGTATGTATTGTTGATATATTCTCAGTTTGTAAATCCAGAATCCTGTTGGTTAATTTTTTTTAGTGCAGAGTCTAAGCAAAAGTAAATTAAACTCAAAGACAAATACCAGGCAGAAGATAATTCCAAGTCACAAAAGGCAAGCTCACTCTAAATAAGGTTTTAAAACGAGAATAGGGAGAAAATGCCATCTAGTGGTGCATAGATGAATTGTCAACTGTTAATCTATTGATTCTCTAATGATTCTTTACTCCTCTGTGTGTCTATCTATCTATCTATCTATCTATCAATATATATATATATATATATATATATATATATATATATATATATATATATATATATATATTGATATAGTTTACAGTTGCAGTATAGATAGATAGATTGATAGATAGATAGATTGATAGATGTACTTTGTTGATCCACAAATTCTGGTTCCATTTATTGCAACAGAAAACCAATAGAGGGAGAGCAGAATGAATGAATAAACGAGGCCTGTGTATGTGCTTATTACCGTGGTTACTGATGTGTGGATGTGATGTTTGTTACCACCATTCCAGAGAAGCTGAGAACGCTGTGACATACCAGGAGGAGGCGCTGTGGACGCTGGTGACAGCCATAAATTGCTTCAGCAGTTTAATGGCTCTTTCAGAGGCACATGGACAGATGTCAAAGCTGCCCTTACATTATTAAATCCTAAAATTGCAGAGCTACAGCAGCAGCAACATTACTGTTCAAACCACACATACTGTAAGTTCTACAGTTTCCAGACTCTCCTTCTAATTAGTGAATTCAGCTGCTTTAAGGTTCACCCATAGCTGTCCCAGGTTTTCAATTGCACAGACACAGTTTGTATAATCTTCATACAAAAGCACTGACAATAGAATGGGATGCTCTGGAGCAGACTCAGGTCACCTGTCAAATGCCAAACGTTGGCTCCTTAGCAGGGATAAGTTTAGGATGAGTTTAAGTGAGATGTGTGATATAGAATCAATCTTCCAACATTAGTGCCTGACCTCAGTAAAGCTTTTATGGCTGAATCAAATCCAAGTAATGTTCCATCATCTAGTGTAAAGCTTGTCCAGAAGAGTAGAGACTGGTACTGTGGTGAAGAAGAAAATCTCCATACTAATACCTGTGATTTCAGAAGAAACTTTAGATGAGCAGGTGTAAAATTGATAGAATTTACAAGATGCTTACAAGAGATATAAAGATTCAGATGTGTGCTTGAATGGTGGTGAATATTTAACTATTTAACTCGATTGTCAATGAGATTTTTTTTTAAATGTAAATTAAGAACATATGCAAGTTAAGAATATACACATTGTTCTAAATAACTATTACTTAGTTCTATGGTAAATTTTTAAAGATGCTTTGTTTTGACCTTGCTTTTTAGTTTGACCCTTTTTTTGTTAGTGACCAGTCCTTTAAATACAGAGCTATAAAAGTACATGATTAACGTTAACTAAGCTATAGCTATCTAAAAGCATGATAGAGAAGGTTACAGTTAGCTAACATTAGCTAATGATCCAAGTGACTGAAACATATTGGAAAACTAAATTTTATATGTTAGACGTGAGAGTGGTGGGGCTTGAGAATGGTGTCTGCAGTCATACCATACTCACATTACCCATAGCACTTCCTAGAACATCTTTGTGGATTGACCTGGATTGAGTCAGTTTAGGGGAAGCCAACATACTTCCTTTTTATCTCATTATATCAAAAACATAACCACAAACACTAGAAAGCTCATAAGAGAGTCCTAAATGAACTGAAGTCAGTGGAGTTCAGTGGCTAAATGTTAATTAAATTTCTACTCATTCAGACAGAAATGAACTTTAATTTTGTGAAAGCAGAAGAACAGATATAAAACACATGACAACTTACCAGTTATCTTTCTGTTTTTTTTAACAACAAAAAGGTTTTTGACAGTAGGATATGTTACTGCCACTGAATACTGGTTGGTCGGCTGATCCAATATAGAAGAAAAATATGTGTACATATATTTGTTGATATAAAACAAAGTGTGCAATATATGTGATGTTTTAAATGTACACCAATCAGACGTAACATTATGACCACCTCCTTGTTTCTATGCTCATTGTCCATTTTATCAGCTCCACTTACTATATAGGTGCACTTTGTAGTTCTACAATTACAGACTGTAGTTCATCTGTTTCTCTGCATACTTTGTTAACCCCCTTTTACCCTGTTCTTCAGTGGTCAGGACCCACATTGACCCTCACAGAGCAGGTAGTATTTGGGTGGTGGATCATTCTCAGCACTGCAGTAACACT